GGATTGAAAGTTAATTTCAAAATAAGTGCAAGACAGAGAACAACAAAAACCGAGCACAGTCGGTGGAAAATAACATAATAAGAAGATTCATGCATCATGAAAACTAAAATATTCGAGTATTTTGTCGAAAACGGGGTACAACCTTAGACATGATTTCCGGTTGAAAGAGTGTGAGCTATTGTCAAGATGGTGACACTGACAGACGAGAGAACATACGGATTCAAAGTCTGTTTGAAAAAAAAATGCGTGGCAGAGAAAAATAAAAAACGAGCATAGTCGGTAAACAATAACATAATAAGATTCATGCACCATGAAAACAAAAATATTCAAATATTTTGTCGAAAACGGGGTACAGACTGAATATAACATGTACGGAAACATTACTGCCGTCTGAAACTAACTTTTAATTTTATTCAATTAATTAGTGACATCGCATGGAAGTAAATATGACGTCATTGTTTACTTGCTCATCATAATATTCCAGCCCTGCTTACGTTGGGCATACGGCGTTTGACATTGGTGTTACTATATTAATATACTGTCTATGGTTAAACAGGGCCCAAATTGACAGGGAGTAAAACACGGAAGTGGAAGAGCTGTCCATGCATTGACCAATCACACAAGAGCTCACAAACACCAAGGAAATATTTGTTGTTGTACTTAACAAAGGGGTTTGGCACTAAAAACAATGGAACGTTTATAGGCTTAACGTTGGATTTAGATCGTGTTATAATCCAAATCCCCTACTAAGACTTGTAAGCACCAATTTTCATATGTGGTAAGAATCAGTTGTGTGCTAACACAGTGACTGGTTGGTAAGAATCAGTTGTTCATACCAATAGATAAAAGACTGGCATTGTTTGCTCCAGTTGTTATTAAATATGTTTGTATGTGTCCCTAATAAACCAATTTATGTCGAATGTTGGCACAGAAGATTCACATACAGGTCGGCAGAAAAAAAATAGTGTGATGGCTTATAGGATCCTATCAAATTAGTCGAATAATAATTCCTTAGATCCTAAAGTAATATTATTTTACATACACAAGGGTGGTATTATTAGCATATTTTCAGTTTACACTTACCATCAATTGCCCGTGTTTTTGCGATGTGGGTACCATTGAAATAAAACTCTTTTCAAGTTGTGATATTAAGTTTTTATTTAGTTGATCATCTTGCATTAAATCATTAATACTTTCACTATATTGTACCTATAAAGAGAAAGATTTTGATGATAATAATCCAGCAAATGATTGTATGATGACATATCGTCTCACTGACACACTTAAACACATACTGCAAGCAATGATTGTATGATGACATATCGTCTCACTGACACACTTTAAACACATACTGCAAGCAATGATTGTATGATGACATATCGTCTCACTGACACACTTTAAACACATACTGCAAGCAATGATTGTATGATGACATATCGTCTCACTGACACACTTTAAACACATACTGCAAGCAATGATTGTATGATGACATATCGTCTCACTGACACACTTTAAACACATACTGCAAGCAATGATTGTATGACGACATATCGTCTCACTGACACACTTTAAACACATACTGCAAGCAATGATTGTATGATGACATATCGTCTCACTGACACACTTTAAACACATACTGCAAGCAATGATTGTATGATGACATATCGTCTCACTGACACACTTTAAACACATACTGCAAGCAATGATTGTATGATGACATATCGTCTCACTGACACACTTTAAACACATACTGCAAGCAATGATTGTATGATGACATATCGTCTCACTGACACACTTTAAACACATACTGCAAGCAATGATTGTATGATGACATATCGTCTCACTGACACACTTTAAACACATACTGCAAGCAATGATTGTATGATGACATATCGTCTCACTGACACACTTTAAACACATACTGCAAGCAATGATTGTATGATGACATATCGTCTCACTGACACACTTTAAACACATACTGCAAGCAATGATTGTATGATGACATATCGTCTCACTGACACACTTTAAACACATACTGCAAGCAATAGAGCAACCTATTGTTTCAAACTCTGATTCATAATGGCTAACTCATAACAGTGTTTAATATTGAGCAACACCATGACATGACTTATTTACTAAATACACAAGTTTTGAGTTTCTGAGCGTGTTTCAGGTTACTGAATATGCTCTTTACAAAAAGTGGGGAATGATTGATGATAATAACACATGCAAAGAATGGGTCGAATTGACTAGGGTTCACTTCCAATCAACAGAAATACACAGTTTCAGGCAATTTTATTACTATACCAACTTCAGTTTTGTACAACAAATTTAAATTAAATTATGTTACATGTTTTTCATTCATACACGTAAAATGCATAAAGACAAAATATCATTTATTCCCCATGGTATTCATACATGTAAAATATTCCTGGGATACAACATACAAGCAGGTATCATCAACTTGGAAAATGGTGCAGATGACAAGTTATAAAATCATCCCCCACTTTTTGTAAAGAGCATATTCAGTAACCTGAAACACGTTCAGAAACTCAAAACTTGTGTATTTAGTAAATAAGTCATGTCATGGTGTGCTCAATATTAAACACTGTTATGAGTTAGCCATTATGAATCAGAGTTTGAAACAAATGCAAGTTAGTAAGTTTAACATGATGTACAATGTAATTGTAAACTTTGATCATAATCAGTCAAGGCATGTCTGAGATATGGCTCTAGAACAGACAATCAGTCAAGGCATGTCTGAGATATGGCTCTAGAACAGACAATCAGTCAAGGCATGTCTGAGATATGGCTCTAGAACAGACAATCAGTCAAGGCATGTCTGAGATATGGCTCTAGAACAGACAATCAGTCAAGGCATGTCTGAGATATGGCTCTAGAACAGACAATCAGTCAAGGCATGTCTGAGATATGGCTCTAGAACAGACAATCAGTCAAGGCATGTCTGAGATATGGCCTTAGAACAGACAATCAGTCAAGGCATGTCTGAGATATGGCTCTAGAACAGACAATCAGTCAAGGCATGTCTGAGATATGGCTCTAGAACAGCATTTGTTAACACAAAATTTCTTTCATTCAGCCATTTTGAATTGGATATGAAAGACATTAAAATCTAATTACGTTTGTACTAAGTTTGAAGAAAAGCTGTGAAATTATGACCAAGATGTGGTTCAGGAATGCTAGAAAAGCAGGACTTAGGTGGGATATATTCTGACCAAAAAGAAAAAGAAAATGTAATTACATAAAAAAATTAATTAATATTCATGTTCTTCAAATAATACTTCATATACTGTATTAATCTCAATGTCCTTTATAGAATAATGTGACATGAATTGTATAAAAGTTCCTAAATAAATTTGCAGTAAAATATATATAAGCAAAAAAAAATACGAACCTGAAAATACACTTGTCACTTTTTTGTTTTATAATCATAATGAAAACAAAATATGACCTTTATTTAATGACAGATCTCAGAGAGCATAGTACTAACAACTGGTACTCATTATCAGCAATATAAACTACTCCATTATTTTCTGGGTCAAAAAATGTTTCATTTCAGCAAAATTTTACTGCACATCTTGAAAATTGCACTTGCTTACCCCAAATTGAACTTTGTAATAAGATTACCAAATTTGAAGATGATCAGATAAAATGTTTCACAACTGAGTCAGCAATAACGACAACAAAGACAGACATTTCCCTGCTCATATAACTTTACCTTCGTCTAAGATGATACAGATAAAAATGATCACCATACTTACTAGATAAGGATGATTCTCATCTTGCCAAAAACTCAGGATGTGCTTTATACAATGTAATAAACACATTCTTTCAGAAAAATAGTATTCCATAATCTAAAATTAAACAATAATATCATTTATTACTGAGAGTGAAGATACAAAGTGTATATTTCCATCATGTGACGTAATACAAATGTAGTAACAACGTGCATATCTGTATATATCAGTCAGAAGTGAAGTGAATATTTACCTTGATAATCAAAGCCTGTGAATTCCGTTCTTCACCTATGATAACCTATGATTACAAGATAATGTATAATCAATTTCCCACATCATATACAGTAATCACATTTATGTATTACCATTACATAGGTTTATTGAAACACTTAAAATTCCTCAGAAGGAATGAAAATGGTTACACTAACTGCTAAAACACAGATATAAAACATACAAATTTTACAAGAATGACTGTCTAAAGCACAACAATGGTTTAAAAAATAAATCAACAGACTACAATTGCAAAAAAAACTATTAATAAATGTTGGTAATAATATTGGGAAAAAAATCGCTCACATTAGCCACTCGTAGTACCAGTACAAACATACATAGAAAAACTTATAATATCAAAATTGTTCAGACAAGGTGTAAATATATAGACAGAGTGAAAGCAAGACCTTAGTTACGATAGTAACCATAAGTACATATTATATAGAACATTACCTGCAACTGTTTACGAGTGCCTTTGAAAGCAAACATCAAATAACTTAGTAATAACTGGTGACTTTGCCATTCATCAAGACCCTATCAATAACAAACATGTGTATAAAACAATATAATAACACTGGAACACTGATAGATAAACTGAACTTGGAATTTGCATAATTTTAAACAGGATATAATAATAATACCAGCATGAACAAGCCAAATGTTGTGATTTGTTCTTTTGGACATAAATGGTTATCAGTCAGGTAAATATGCTATTTGTCATGTTAGCCTCAGTATACCAAAGTATATACAGTATAACAGACACAATGTCAGGAAATGAACATTAAATCTAAGTTGAGGTCATGTATATAGTAGGCCATACATACAAAACTTAATATTTGTGTTACACACTTACCAGAAATGTGCTGAGTTTTAATATAAACTCCTTTGATGCCTTCCCAATGGTATTGTCATTTTTAAGTCTGTTTGCAGAATCATTGCTAAATAAAATAAAAATTGTCAGTCTACATATAGCCAAAAAATGTAATGTTCATAAAAAGCTTTATTTTAATTCATTTATTTAAAACATTCAAAATTGAATACACAGAGACACTCTGTAACATGCATGTATGTGTATAGAATGTATGTTTTGAAATCGTGGACACAAAGAAACAATTTTGTAAATAAAATGTGGTCATTGGTGAAGCAAGTGTCAAGAAAATCACTGAATCTTGTCAAAATGACTATCAGCAGGGATCTCAAGTTAGTATATTTCTGAGCACTGTTTCGTCATTCAGACCAGTTAAATAAGTGGCTACTGTTTTCCTTCTTCTGAATGCATTGGACCAATATTTTTATATTGACTAATCATTAATGCATTTGACGATTCATTAGTCTGTGACAAATAAAAACCCAGACCAGTTCAGTTCAATACTCTCGTGACTCATCAGTGCAACTTGAGCACACAATCCAAGTTCACTCAATTTGCTTTAATCAGATTCATTATTTCCTTACCTTGGTTTTTTGTAATAATCAAGCATTTCCAATAACCTCTTCTGATTCAGTTTCAAAGCATTGCATATTTCTTCCTAATAAAAAGACAAGGTGAAAAAAAATGCTTATAAATTTCTGAATAAAGAATTTCCCCAATATTTTGAACAGAACAGAATTTATCTTTTTTACAAATCACACCCTCTAATGACGAACACTTCAATGTTGTAAATGGGTGACTCAAAAGGCTTCAAAGCGTTAATATTATTTTGATATGTTGATGTCCAATCAATGAAGATTACATTTTTGAGAGTTTTTTTATGATATCTAGATGACGAACAACCACACAAATAAACAGTTTTATATCAGAACAAGGATGCTGTCAGGGAGTATATCAGAATGGTGTATTACTCTGTACATACTACATGCACATGCTAGGTTAATCATTTTTAACAATGACACAGTGAAAATACTGGAAATTTGTCAAATGCATCTTGTCATTTACATAAGTACAAAACCTTTCATGAAGTGCTGAACACTCTTGGGAAAACAAGATTTTCAACATGGCTGACAATAATAACTATGCATCTTTTTAAAAACAGTAAAATGTACAAGTTGATGACCCATAACAAAATAATGGTCACTATAAACAGGTTTGAGTGTATTTAATAAAATTATAGTGCTTCCCCTCCTCCCTTCATGTTAGACACTTACCTGACTCCTAAGGGCAGATTTACCATTTATAATCTGCAGCAACTCATGGTTAGAACTGAAAGATATGGTTAAATTATTACTACATCTTTTTATTGCACATGTTTATTACTTTACTCAATACCACTGACTTTTAAATGTTTGTAAATTAGAGAATAAGTTGGTTGATGAACAGATTGTAGTGCAGTGTAATGTAGTATAGCGTAGTGTAGTGCAGTTTAGTGTAGTATAGTGCAGTGTAGTGTAGTATAGCATAGCGTTGCGTAGTGTAGTGTAGTGTAGTGTAGTGTAGTGTAGTGTAGTGTAGTGTAGTGTAGTGTAGTGTAGTGTAGTGTAGTGTAGTGTAGTGTAGTGTAGTGCAGTGCAGTGCAGTGTAGTGTACTTATTTGAGCTCAGTTTTCTGAAAGTGTTCATAAAAGCAGTGGGGGTAGTGCCTTAACCTCACAGTTCCGGGTACCCGTATTTGTCGAAGTCTACCCCAGGTATACAGTTCCTGTGGTTACCCACTCAGTACAGTATACCGGGGGTATGTCACTCTAAGTACGTCTGACCTCCATGGTCTGACAGGGGATGCTTCCTATGGGTTCTTTCGTCGAAGCAGATCGATCGAATTGTTTAGAAAAATGAAAGGTTAAATAAAAGCGCACTTCACACCTAAAAAACGTATAGCTGCATATCTCGATCCTTTCATAACCGCAACTAAACAATACAAAGTTTTATCAACAAAATCCATGCCTTACCGACTTGAAGTCGCCATTTTTTCTTTACCGCTTTTCTTGGCTTTGCCTTATGGTGGCGCTGTGTGCTGACGTCAACTCTACCACAGTTCTTTGCGATGTCTCTGAAACAGAATATATGCTGGCCGTTCAGCTTTTTTGAGCAAGATATCTGAATTAGAGGGAAACGTATCACATATTCATGTTTATTAAACAGCATAATCTAATTCAATACAACAAACTTTCAGTAAATCCATCGAGTGAGCGTGTGAGTTGCATTGTGGGTACAGTGGAAAGTGCGCTTGCGCAGTGCGGGGTTTTCAAATTTTGTTTGTGGTATTATTTGCACGACATTTTGTGAGTGCATTAATCCCTTGTAGACGTTTTTATGAACACTGTAAGAATGGAGGAATGTAACGAAGAGTGGGAGTTAAGCAAAGAGAACGTTCAACCCATTCGACAAGGTCGAAAATTGACCAATATTACAACGGCATTACAACCAAGCGGAGTCGGTGAGAATCATCAACAAAGTAATGTCCTTATTCAGCAACGGTTACAGTAAGTAGATAATCAGTTTTTAAGTCTTTCATCTCGCGTTGTAAAACTGCAATTTTCAACGACAAAACAGTGTCAACAATGCGTGGTAATGGCCTATTCCCAACTTCTATATTGAATAAGTTTTTTTGACTCCCGTGTGCGAAGCACAAAAAGAGTCTGCAGTTAGTGTGTCTGTCTGTGTGTGTCTGTTCCATCGATATCTCAAGAACCAATGTTCAGATTTCAATGAAACTTGGTATATAGCTTGTCTGGGGCAATGCGCAGATTTGATTAGTTTTTGGTTGACACCCATGCATATTAATGAGCTCTTCTGCATAATAATGTGTGAATTTTAAGCTATTTCAGTTATATCTCAAGAAGCATTAAAACGATTTTTATATAACTTAGTAAGAATGGGACTACCGTTAAAATCCTATTATAAACCACGGTTTATATTACAATGTATCAAATAAAAAATTGGGATCAACAGCTCAAGTTCGGGGTGCGGTTTATATTAGGGACATATTGCAATCACTTACCCCAGACCATTCGTCCCGGTGTTATCGCTATCGCCACACGAGACTCCAGCTTGTCTCCTATACAATTTTCCTTCCGCCCACTTAATTTTAATATTCATATGACCTTTGCACTGACATCGATAGCCAATCGCATTCGACCGCGGACGTCACTCTAAATAAACAACTGAATAAATTAATATACCATATTTGGAAGATAGCGGGTAAATTCAACGTTGTTGGTGTGTTCCTTCGGGTTCCGAAGTCGCACGAAACGAGTTCATGTTCCGTTATCTTTCGCAAGTAAAATAGGTCGATATGTATTAAACATGGCATTTGTTTTCTTGTTTTAACCCCCTTATTACGCAAGCTTCCGTCGAAGTGGTGTTTTTTTCGACAATTTGTGGCATGTTGCAAA